CACAATTTCCCCAGAAATTGTAGCTTATTATTCTTATTCTTATTATAGCAAAATTTGCCACCCTAACTCCTCCCACAGTTTTTACACTACATAGACAAAAATTTACCAAACGTGCAGATTGTTCCCGATCGGATTGCTATTACTTTGTGGAACGTTTCGCCGAATGGTTCACGGAATATCGTCGTTCTTGTGGCGCAATTTGTCCCATAGGAATGAATGGTAAAGCTAGAGTGGGAGCTGGCAAAAGCTGAAAAATCAGGACATGATTTCTAAACTGCCACCACCCCCTTATTTTCAGGCCCACCTACACAAATCTTATATCAAAACGTTCAGCTATCCCTGCTGCCACTAAACATGTCAACGGCTAAGCCATAGTCCTGATAGTTTTCACAACATAATCATTTGTTTGCAACTAACGCCCATTGACTTTCATTGGAAACTTTCACCTGCAAAGCTCAAATTTGAAGTGCAATTTCTAAACTGCGACTGTGCCTTCATTTTTAATACTTCAGAGACATACTATGCATCTGGGTCTGGGTCTTGTGATTCTCACAATATAAAGCTCTTCGCTGTAGGAGTTATAGTTTTTAAGATACGACCGTTTGAAGATGGCACCCACCAAAATACTCTGACCTGTGTCAAGCTGCAGCAACAAGTGATGTCATAGACAAGGCCTTTTGAACACCTGCTAATGTTTTTATAAATGTATGGTTTAATGTAACTGTGCAACAACGTTGCAATTAAATGTGCTAGACTACTGGTGGAGGCAAGAACACTTCACACAATTTCCCCAGAAATTGAAGCTTTTCTAGTTATTAAGTGTTCTTGCATAGCAAGACCACTTAATGTTATCTCATATATACATATATTATTATTATAGCAAAATTTACAAATTCTAACTCCTCCCACAGTTTTACAATTGCTATAGACCAAAATTCTACCTTTCAAAACGCAGATTGGTCCCATCGGATTGTTACTTTGTGAACGCTACCAATGGTTCAATGCGGAATATCGCCGCTTTTAATGGCTAATTTGTCCCAGTTAGGAATGAATGGCAGCCAGAGTGGAGTTGGCAAAGCTGAAAATCAGGAATAGGGACATGATTTCTAAAACTGCCACCACTCCCTCATTTTCAGGCCCACCTACACAAAATCTTATATCAAAAACGTTCAGCTATCCCTTTCTGCTGCCACTAGAAATGTCAACGGGCTAAGCCATATAGTCCTGATAGTTTTCACAATAATATGACCATTTGTTTGCAACCAACGCCGCCTCCATTGGATATTCATTGAAACTTCACTCTACAAAGCTCAAATTTGAAGTGCAATTTCTAAACTGCGACTGTGCCTTCATTTTTAATACTTCAGAGACACACTACGCATCAAAACGTAGTTCTGGGCCTTGTGATTCTCACAATATAAAGCTCTTCGCTGTAGGATTTATAGTTTTTAAAATACGACCGTTTGAAGATGGTAACCGCCAAAATACTCTGACCTGTGTCAGGCTGCAGCAGCAAGTGATGTCATAGACAGGGCCTTTTGAACACCTGCTAATGTTTTTTATAAATGTATGGTTTAATGTAACTGTGCAACAACGTTGCAATTAAATGTGCTATATAAATGATAACAGTTACTCCGCCCACTCCAGTTGAAGACTACAGGTGGAGGCAAGAATGCTTCACACAATTTCCCCAGAAATTGTAGTTTTTTCTATTAAGTGTTCTTGCAAAGCAAGACCACTTAATGTTATCTCACATATATATTATTATTATTATTATTATAGCAAAATTTGCCACCCTAACTCCTCCCACAGTTTTTACACTACATAGACAAAAATTTACCAAAACCTGCAGATTGTTCCCGATCGGATTGCTATTACTTTGTGGAACGTTTCGCCGAATGGTTCACGGAATATCGTCGTTCTTGTGGCGAGATTTGTCCCATAGGAATGAATGGCAAAGCTAGAGTGGGAGCTGGCAAAAGCTGAAAAATCAGGACATGATTTCTAAGCTGCCACCACTCCCTTATTTTCAGGCCCACCTACACAAATCTTATATCAAAACGTTCAGCTATCCCTGCTGCCACTAAACATGTCAACGGCTAAGCCATAGTCCTGATAGTTTTCACAATATAATCATTTGTTTGCAACTAACGCCGTCCATTGACTTTCATTGAAACTTCACTCTGCAAAGCTCAAATTTGAAGTGCAATTTCTAAACTGCGACTGTGCCTTAAATTTTAATACTTCAGAGACATACTATGCATCAAACTGTAGGTCTGGGTCTTGTGATTCTCACAATATAAAGCTCTTCGCTGTAGGAGTTATAGTTTTTAAGATACAACCATTTGAAGATGGCAACCGCCAAAATACTCTGACCTGTGTCAGGCTGCAGCAGCAAGTGATGTCATAGACAGGGCCTTTTGAACACCTGCTAATGTTTTTATAAATGTATGGTTTAATGTAACTGTGCAACAGCGTTGCAATTAAATGTGCTATATAAATGATAACAGTTACTCCGCCCACTCCAGTTGTAGACTACTGGTGAAGGCAAGAACACTTCACACAATTTCCCCAGAAATTGTAGCTTTTCTAGTTATTATTATTATTCTTATTATAGCAAAATTTGCCAACCTAACTCCTCCCACAGTTTTTACACTACATAGACAAAAATTTACCAAAACGTGCAGATTGTTCCCGATCGGATTGCTATTACTTTGTGGAACGTTTCGCCAAATGGTTCACGGAATATCGTCGTTCTTGTGGCGCAATTTGTCCCATAGGAATAAATGGCAAAGCTAGAGTGGGAGCTGGCAAAAGCTGAAAAATCAGGACATGATTTCTAAACTGCCACCACTCCCTTATTTTCAGGCCCACCTACACAAATCTTATATCAAAGCGTTCAGCTATCCCTGCTGCCACTAAACATGTCAACGGCTAAGCCGTAGTCCTGATAGTTTTCACAATATGACCATTTGTTTGCAACCAACGCCGTCCATTGACATTCATTGAAACTTCACTCTGCAAAGCTCAAATTTGAAGTGCAATTTCTAAACTGCGACTGTGCCTTCATTTTTAATACTTCAGAGACATACTGTGCATCAAAATGTAGGTCTGGGTCTTGTGATTCTCACAATATAAAGCTCTTCACTGTAGGAGTTATAATTTTTAAGATACGACCGTTTGAAGATGGCAACCACCAAAATACTCTGACCTGTGTCAAGCTGCAGCAGCAAGTGATGTCATAGACAGGGCCTTTTGAACACCTGCTAATGTTTTTATAAATGTATGGTTTAATGTAACTGTGCAACAACGTTGCAGTTAAATGTGCTATATAAATGATAACAGTTACTCTGCCCACTCCAGTTGTAGACTATTGGTGGAGGCAAGAACACTTCACACAATTTCCCCAGAAATTGTAACTTTTCTAGTTATTATTATTCTTATTATTATAGCAAAATTTGCCACCCTAACTCCTCCCACAGTTTTTACACTACATAGACAAAAATTTACCAAAACGTGCAGATTGTTCCCGATCGGATTACTATTACTTTGTGGAACGTTTCGCCGAATGGTTCACGGAATATCGTCGTTCTTGTGGCGAAATTTGTCCCATAGGAATGAATGGCAAAGCTAGAGTGGGAGCTGGCAAAAGCTGAAAAATCAGGACATGATTTCTAAACTGCCACCACTCCCTTATTTTCAGGCCCACCTACACAAATCATATATCAAAACGTTCAGCTATCCCTGCTGCCACTAAACATGTCAACGGTTAAGCCGTAGTCCTGATAGTTTTCACAATATGACCATTTGTTTGCAACCAACGCCGTCCATTGACATTCATTGAAACTTCACTCTGCAAAGCTCAAATTTCAAGTGCAATTTCTAAACTGCGACTGTGCCTTCAATTTTAATACTTCAGAGACATACTATGCATCAAAATGTAGATCTGGGTCTTGTGATTCTCACAATATAAAGCTCTTAGCTGTAGGAGTTATAGTTTTTAAGATACGACCGTTTGAAGATGGCAACCACCAAAATACTCTGACCTGTGTCAAGCTGCAGCAGCAAGTGATGTCATAGACAGGGCCTTTTGAACACCTGCTAATGTTTTTATAAATGCATGGTTTAATGTAACTGTGCAACAACGTTGCAATTGAATGTGCTATATAAATGATAGCAGTTACTCCGCCCACTCCAGTTGTAGACTACAGGTGGAGGCAAGAACACTTCACACAATTTCCCCAGAAATTGTAACTTTTCTAGTTATTATTATTCTTATTATTATAGCAAAATTTGCCACCCTAACTCCTCCCACAGTTTTTACACTGCATAGACCAAAATTTACCAAAACGTGCAGATTGTTCCCGATCGGATTGCTATTACTTTGTGGAACGTTTCGCCGAATGGTTCACGGAATATCGTCGTTTTTGTGGCGCAATTTGTCCCATAGGAATGAATGGCAAAGCTAGAGTGGGAGCTGCCAAAAGCTGAAAAATCAGGACATGATTTGTAAACTGCCACCACTCCCTCATTTTCCAGCCCACCTACACAAATCTTATATCAAAACGTTCAGCTATCCCTGCTGCCACTAAACATGTGAACGGCTAAGCCGTAGTCCTGATAGTTTTCACAATATGACCATTTGTTTGCAACCAACGCCGTCCATTGACATTCATTGAAACTTCACTCTGCAAAGCTCAAATTTGAATTGCAATTTCTAAACTGCGACTGTGCCTTCAATTTTAATACTTCAGAGACATACTATGCATCAAAATGTAGGTCTGGGTCTTTTGATTCTCACAATATAAAGCTCTTCACTGTAGGAGTTATAGTTTTTAAGATACGACCGTTTGAAGATGGCAACCGCCAAAATACTCTGACCTGTGTCAAGCTGCAGCAGCAAGTGATGTCATAGACAGAGCCTTTTGAACACCTGCTAATGTTTTTATAAATGTATGGTTTAATGTAACTGTGCAACAACGTTGCAATTGAATGTGCTAGACTACTGGTGGAGGCAAGAACACTTCACACAATTTCCCCAGAAATTGTAGCTTTTCTAGTTCTTATTCTTATTATAGCCAAATTTGCCACCCTAACTCCTCCCACAGTTTTTACACTACATAGACAAAAATTTACCAAAATGTGCAGAATGTTCCCGATCGGATTGCTATTACTTTGTGGAACGTTTCGTCGAATGGTTCACGGAATATCGTCGTTCTTGTGGCGCAATTTGTCCCATAGGAATGAATGGCAAAGCTAGAGTGGAAGCTGGCAAAAGCTGAAAAATCAGGACCTGATTTCTAAACTGCCACCACTCCCTTATTTTCAGGCCCACCTACACAAATCTTATATCAAACCGTTCAGCTATCCCTGCTGCCACTAAACATGTCAACGGCTAAGCCATAGTCCTGATAGTTTTCACAATATAATCATTTGTTTGCAACTAACGCCGTCCATTGACATTCATTGAAAGTTCGCTCTACAAAGCTCAAATTTGAAGTGCAATTTCTAAACTGCGACTGTGCCTTCATTTTTAATACTTCAGAGACATACTATGCATCAAAGTGAAGGGCAGGGTTTTGTGCTTCTTGCAATATAAAGCTCTTCACTGTAGGATGTATAGTTTTTAAAATACGACAGTTTGAAGATGGCAACCGCCAAAATACTCTGACCTGTGTCAGGCTGCAGCAGCAAGTGATGTCATAGACAGGGCCTTTTGAACACCTGCTAATGTTTTTATAAATGTATGGTTTACAGTTACTCTGCCCACTCCAGTTGTAGACTACTGGTGGAGGCAAGAACACTTCATACAATTTCCCCAGAAATTGTAGCTTTTCTAGTTCTAATTCTTATTATAGCCAAATTTGCCACCCTAACTCCTCCCACAGTTTCTACACTACATAGACAAAAATTTACCAAAACGTGCAGATTGTTCCCGATCGGATTGCTATTACTTTGTGGAACGTTTCGCCAAATGGTTCACGGAATATCATCGTTCTTGTGGCGCAATTTGTCCCATAGGAATGAATGGCAAAGCTAGAGTGGGAGCTAGCAAAAGCTGAAAAATCAGGACATGATTTCTAAACTGCCACCACTCCCTTATTTTCAGGCCCACCTACACAAATCTTATATCAAAATGTTCAGCTATCCCTGCTGCCACTAAACACTTCAGAGACATACTATGCATCAAAATGTAGGTCTGGGTCTTGTGATTCTCACAATATAAAGCTCTTGGCTGTAGGATTTATAGTTTTTAAAATACGACCGTTTGAAGATGGCAACCGCCAAAATACTCTGACCTGTGTCAGGCTGCAGCAGCAAGTGATGTCATAGACAGGGCCTTTTTAACACCTGCTAATGTTTTATAAATGTATGGTTTAATGTAACTGTGCAACAACGTTGCAATTAAATGTGCTATATAAATGATAACAGTTACTCCGCCCACTCCAGTTGTAGACTACTGGTGGAGGCAAGAACACTTCACACAATTTCCCCAGAAATTGTAGCTTTTCTAGTGACAACTTGTTGTACTCTAGCCATAAGCCAATGTTCTACCCAAGAACAAGAATATTAATCTAGACCAATTTCTTTTAGTTTGAAGACCAACCTATTGTGAGGAACCATATCAAATGCCTTGGCATAATCCAAGTAGATC